TGCCCAAAAGTAGGAGAGCTCAGGCAGTCACTTAAGACTCTTATTTATTTGGAAAAGCAGGGTATTTAAGTGTAAAGTCGGGTAGAGATGTGGTGCGAATTGTGCCATTCTACATCGAAATTGCGTTTTAGTACAATTATTCCTTAAACTCGGGTGCGTGTATACTGGTAGTGTCTTTGTCTCAATAAGCTCGAGATCACATCACCTGAGCAGAAATGTCATGCATGACATCGTTGGTTCGCTACTTGCGTCATTTTTTTTTTCTTTCGGAAATAATCGTGGCATGTTGCTGTCAACCCTGGCTCTGGCAGTAGTGATGCTGAAAATGACTATCACGCAGCTGAAATTCTTGCCCCCTATGAACACGGGTGAACTCTTGACACTGGCAACAATTGCAGTACTTGCTGCATCTGTTGTAGGAATGAAGGCATATGTGATGATTGCACGCAGGTCATCGAACCCCAAGCTGTTGGTCAAAATAGACTTTCTCATGTGTGCCATTAATTTGCTCAGCTTGTACTGGTAAGTGCAAGAGGTCTTTGGCTTATAGTTGCTAGAAAAAAATTTTGTAAAGTTAACTCGTTAGCTCATGAAGAAGGGGAACATTGAGTAGAAAGCCTGCCCAGTCATATAATACTGCCAGAGCACAGTAGCCATGTTGTCATGGTCACGATTTGTAACGCAAGCATCAGGTTCTTTGTCTCAAATCGTACCATGGTGGACGTCAGGTGGTCAGCAGTGTCTATTCATTGTACCACATTGTTAGCTACGAATCTCCCGGCAGTTTTAGCCAGTGAATCTGCACCAAAGTGCTTGGAACGATCATACTTTCATGCACCATGCCGCAAATTAAGGATTTGTAGCAAATGAAGAATTTGCATGGTCAAGAAAAAATATGGTAAGGATCCATCACAGAAAAGCCACTGATGCTTCAGATAGTGCTGAACAACAAGGTGATTGGCAACTGATCATTTAAGGAGTGGCAGGAACAGACATAGACAAGGTTGAAAGTGGGAAATGTGCTGCTTGATGATTGGAACTTTAAGCTGCCGGCTATTCTTAACCAAATGAATGAATTTGATTTGATTCTTTAGTCAGTGAAGGTCATAATTATTTTTATTTTGATACTACAGTCAAATCCCACTTCTAGGAAATTGAGGCGATGCGTGAAAAAATTGTAGTTGTAGTGAAATTTTATCTATAGACCACAAAATTTGGTCTCATCTGATGATTATTACTCGTCCTTTGGTCTCTGCAAGCGCATGCATTGAACTCCCGCCAACTGAAACGTACCTGGCCGAATACTGGGTGAACGTATTTTGTTGCCTATAATGCGATTCCAACACAGAAAATTTGGAGCTGAAGTTGGGGTGCGGGTTAAACAATCATTTTGGCGCACAAGTCGGCTTCACGGCACAGCTTCACTGCAATGTAGAGAAGACGCTGTTTCAATGTGTGGGTAGCTTTTTTCTTTTCTTTTTTTTTTTTTTTTTTTTTTTGTCGCAGTTTGTTGCTAAGGGTGTCGGTTATATGCAGGGGTGGGTTATACAGAAGAAACTTCGATATTCGGACGACCGTGGAGGCTTGCAGAGTGCACAGCGCTGCGAATGAGCGTGCCAAAGCTTCGCTGGAGGCCTACAAATTATTGCAACTGAAAGAGACGAAGCTCCGCACTACCATAACCATAGGTGAATGACAGGAAAGCCATAACGCTTCATGTCATTTTATGGCTTTATTGCCTTTAATCTACAGCCGTGCTAGCTGCGCACCTTCGGATTGTATTTGCTATTGTTGAACAATACTATAGCAACCGCTGTTTCCTGGACAGCAGTTACTGCGAACACAAGTACCATTTTTAATCTTTGCAGGTTGCACTGTTTGTGCGCGTGCATTGAGAACTGCAGCAGTGCTATCTTTTTTCGCATTATTACGGCAAGGAATATTGGGTTTAATCAGTTGCTGACCCGCAGGTCGCGGCTTCGTATCCCGGCTGCGGCGGCTGCATTTCCGAAGGAGGCGGAAATGTTGTAGGCCCGTGTGCTCAGATTTGGGTGCACATTAAAGAACCCCTGGTGGTCGAAATTTCCAGAGCCCTCCACTACGGCGTCTCTCATAATCATATGGTGGTTTTGGGACGTTAAACCCCACATATCAATCAATGGGTTTAATCGGTGCGTGTTGACTGCGCACATACTTTCATAGTCACCCATGATTGCGTTCGTCATGACTGCCTTTGTGTTTGCAGCGGTTGCGGCAGAATGCAGTTATGCTGGGGCTAGGTGCGTGCTGCTCGCGTGTGTACCTTCACAACGCATGGTTGTCATTCACAATCGCAGGGCAAGTGATGACGAACTGTAGTTTTGTTACGAGCATGCCATCAAAAATACGTAGCGGGGGTTCTTGAAGATAGAGATTCTGCTGCGGTCCGCATGTGCATCAAATCCACCGGCAGCATCATGGCGAATGGGCACGCTGTCACCGAGCTTTTCAATGGCGATAAATTTAGCAGCATGTGTGTGTGGTGGCAAAAATCGTGTATCTGATAAAAACACAGTTGTTGCGATACGGCCGTGCGCTCTGGATTTTACGAGTTGTCGAGAAATGGCCAAGTTTGTGTAAAAATTTCGCGGCAATCCGAAGAAAGTTCCTTTTTCTTATGGGGCAGTACTCGCAAAAACTTCGTTAAAGCGGAAATACCCAGGAAAAGTATTCGTTGTGACGAGACAATTTTTACCTTGTTTTCTATGAGCGGCTGATGGGGAATCGAAAATCATTCGTTGTGGCAGAAATTTCGTTGTAGCGGAATTCGTTATAGCGGGATTCAGCTGTATAGACCAGAGCAAGCCTATCTCGTACCCACGCGCCCAGGCTCTCGCCACATACTCTCGCACCCAGACAACCATTTTGTTCTGAACGGCCACGACGTGCATCTTGTGTACGTTTCTACTAGTAATGTTCCTGTCGATCTGTGTACTTCGGCTATATTTTGGCATAAAGTTTTCAGTTGGCCTTAAGCTAAACCTCGACCTGCGCTTTCACGACAGCTAGATGCGCCGTCCCATCCATCGACATGTACTCCAGAAAGATATGCATGAGTTCTTTTCACAGAAATAGATCTTGCTGATTCTTTTGATGATGCGAAATTTTGAGAGATGCAAGTATGTTTGCCCCCCTTAGAAACTCTCACACCTTTTACTGTAGTTGGGAAACCCTACCCACGGGTGTTCAGCCAGCCAGCCAAGTTGATATGAGACCACGCAATGCCGATGTTTACTGATCCCCCCTCTCTTGTTTTCTTTTTTGTGATGTTTTTTGCGGGGTGGGATGGGGGGCAAAGAAGAAAGGAGGGCAAATAAATGAGCGTGACAGGCTCTACATTTCCGAAATAGTAATATGGTGTTGCTATTGTTTAATTTATCATCAAACTGCACATAACTACAGAGTTTTCATCAGTAGGGAAAAGTGGTGGAGGCCCTATTTAAGAGATGATCAATATTTCCGCACTTAGTGCGTGGAGGATCTGTTAACTTCATGAAAATTAGCAGACCCTCTACATGTTCACTGCTGCCATTCACCTGTATAATACGGTACTACCTGTGCGTTGTTGTACCTAACAAAACTATCGAGTGCCCAGTGTGCCTGCTATTATCCTCTATCTGTACGGTTATTTTAAGTTTGTTAAAGTGTACCATCTCTCACAAAAATTGTGGTGCTGCGAAAAGTGTGGCGTTGCGCTTTGCAAGAACCGTTGATGCTTCAACCGTTAAATGCCAAGGTAACAGTTAAGATTGGGTATAGTGGATGTAATCCCGATAGTTCAGATGGCCACGACGACACGTTGAAGGGCTGGACGAGCCCGGTTGCTCACTTCCTGGCAAACTTCAGTTTATTTACACACTGAAACGTATTTACAAACGCCGGGTCGGCACTGAACCGACCACACAGTAAGCACTGGGCTGTATTAACGTCGGCGTTACTTGCCAAGTTCATTGTATACTCCATACATTGACACCAACTTGTCGATGTAATATCAACCTTGGGTCGGAGTTGGCACCATGCACGACCTCTGTCTCCGCTTCCCGATCTTGTTCTCCAGCAGCAAGCTCCCCTCCTCTTCATTTCTCTTTATTAAATACCGCCCGTCTCATCTGAGACAGCCTTGTGGGACGAACCCCTTCTTTATCTTCTTCAATGTAGCAAACAACTCCCCTTTCCTCATAGGTGTCTCACCGCCTCTGTGTTCGCACACTTTGCTGTTCTCATCATCCAAGAAATCGGCTAAACAAGGAGTTTGTCATTTCGTCAACAAACAGCTTAAAAATTCATTGCGCGACAACGAGCTTGGCTACACAGCCGGTCGGCTGTGTGGTGTTAGTACACACGATGCTGCTGTCTATCCACACATATTGTGACAGCACGCCGCCACATTATCCCTGTCAGGAGCTGTGTCGCAACAGGAACAACTTGTTTCTCAGTCCGGCTCACAGTGAGAATGCTTCTGCCGTGCGGGCGACTTACCAGCACAGGTGCTGTCAACAAAAGCTCACGGGGTTTGGCAACAAAAGTGCGTACAGAGGTGAACGACTTAGTACGTCTGTGCAGCCACTTTTCATTATCCTCCCTTTTTGTCGGGCGCAGTCTACCGACTGGCCATTCTTCGTTTGCCCCTAACGAAACTGTAACTTTGGTATTAGTTTGGAAAAAGCCTAGCTTGCTTGCTCATTGCTATGGCTGAGCTCAGCATACTTTCCAAAGTACAATATCATAACTGCTAAAGAATTAAATGTAACTCTATAAAAATTCATAGCTGCTTTTGTATACTGTAGTTTGACAATGATGTAAACTTTCAACGAAATTCAACCAATAGTTCTTGCATGGTCCTTAATAGGTTAATTGGTTTTGAACTGGTTTTGGTGTGAGAAAGGTGTCAAGGAAATACATAGCCCCACTTTTCATTATGATCCTAGTTGAATACTCTCATCTGTTTTGATCTTGTGCAGCATGCAGGACCAGCCTCCTTTAAAAGGTGAACCCAAGGACGAACCTTCACTGCAGGTGAAGGAAGGGCCAGGACCACAAGAAATAGCAGCTTTAGAAGAAAAGCGAGGAAAAAGGGCTCGAGGGAAACGGGCATCAACACAGCAGCCAGCTGAATCACTCCTTCCACTGAAGGAAGAGGGAGAACCAGAACCAAAGAAAAGGCGATTGTACTAATAAGGAAAGATGTCTGGAATAATTTCCAGCTGTCTTTTTTTCGTTTTTATTTGGGTTTCATTTTAATACTGTTGAAATTCCTGTATTTAGATACAGTGCCTAACTTAAAGTACCTGAATAGTCTAATCTTACTGTGATATTTTTGTTTTTGCAACAGCAAGGACTCTAAGCCCGAGTCTTTGCATGGTTCACAGCAGTGCTGTGATGCGTCAATATTCTTCCTGAGATAATACTGCAATTTTTACTATAATACAGTTTTTAGTTAAGTGTGTTCAAATAAAGTTGCGTTAATATTTTATTCCAGTGGTCTTGTTTTATTGAGGCATTTTTGTCACTTTGCATCATACCTGAAACGAGAATGCAGTTTCGTTATAACTTCAGTCCTGCTAAGCGGAGATTGTAATCACTGAGGTATGCACATAAGAAAAGGCAGTGAACGTAGGGGTAAGTATCCAATTTATGTAAAACCTTCGTTGCACTAGACTACTCCTTTTTTTTCAAAAAGGGTAAGCATAATTAGAATTTGAATTCAAGTTGCTGCTCAAAGCCTTGAGGGGGTGAAGTTTAGCATTTTGCAATATCAACCTAATAATTTGTAAACTTAATGTAGTTTAGCACTCAATGTTTTTACTTTCTTCATTTTCTTGCACTACCGTCAAGACTGAGGAAGCTCTGAAATAATAAGCATGCAGGCCTTCCTGAACAAAATATTAGACTGCATGAAATTCCTAGTTTTATATACAGCTGAACCCTTTTATAAAAGGCATGCTCTGGGCAGCAGTTATTGTCTTTTGTACGAGATGTCTCTTATAAGCAGGGTACCACTTATGCATTTTTTTTATCAAAACCTATTTTACTGTAGGTAGACTGGTGTCTCCTTGCCCATTTTTTTTTTTTTCGGAACTAAGTTTGAAGTTTATTAGTAACAAAGTAGCGATACATGAAATGACGTTATACAGACTAGGGTCACAGTCTGAAGACTGTGGGGGTATCCATGGTAAAACAAAGCATAAAAAAATACTAGGGCAAATTGCAAGTCAATGTAGTGTAAATAGAAAAATGTTATAAAACAACTGTAGAAGAATAGCGAAGCGATAAAACAGTAATAAATGCAACTATAACAATACAATTGCTAGACTTCAATTCAAAAAGAATAACGTATAGTAAGGAGATAGAAAATGTAATCTCAGTTTTTTTAATTCATACAGTTTACCTAAAGGCTATACTTGATGGAGTTGAGTTGGGGTAGAGATGGAGTAGAGTGAGAGTTAATTTCCTCCTCCTCGACTAGCTTCTACACTAGCTAAGGAGAGAAGATGTTTGAGGTTCGCAATGGGTACCCTCGATGACTCGAGTGCACGGTGGCAGCGCGAAGGAAGAGCCGTAGTCTGGTGAAGAGACTCTTTATTGCAGCATCAGGCGTCTGCCCCAGTCCAAGCCCGAACCTCCGCTCTCTATTTCGCATTCGAAAATCCTCTTTTCAACCCTCAGTTGAACAAAGGGTCTCAAAACAAGCCAATCACACGTGTGGGCTCGCATTGCAACAACCACCAATCGTGAGAACACTTTCATAACAGGCACTGCATTGGGGAATATCACGTTATGAAGTACAACACAAGAGGGTATAGGTTCTCCGTGTGCCACACACTCTTATACCAGGTCGACCTCCGTCGGTAGCCATTTTCACACTCTAGCCCCGTCAGCTCTTTCATTATATGTTGCTTCTTCATAGACGCCTCTTTAAGAACGGTGAGTACACCAGTGAGGCCCTGTGCGCAGACCAAGTGTGCACGCGACAGCGAGGTGCCCCGCCATCCTAACAACAGTTGGTAATGACGAATAAGGGGGGGATAAGCTCGTTTGCATGCCACCATCATGTCTCTGACAGCCCAGTGGTCGTGTCCCTGCGTCATTCTCAATGGCACGCGTGTATGCCAACAATGACTTAAACTCGGGCAGCGGCGCTTGGCCTGCTTTTTGCAAGACTCTCTTCCAAGTAAGCTTTCCTCTTCTAGTCCCAGACGGGGGTGGCCTTGACGGCTCTGCTAGTGAACTGTGGGAACGAAGGAGTCTCTTTTCTTTCTCGTGCTCGGGTCTTCCGCGTTCGCCTTTGCTGAACTAATCAGCTTCGTTCGTTGACGAATCGGGAGCTGGCTCCACGCTCTGCATCAGCCGCATTAATTGGGCTACACACAATAGGATGGTAATTGTTGTCTCATACTAACTGTGCGGTTAGTGTTTATTAGTAAGTCGCAATTAAGTTCAAGGAGTGGGCAACAGATAATTATATTCAAAAACAAACAAGTACAATGAAACATGAATAACTTCCTAATACACAATATTATGTTGTCTAAGTAATCAAATGGCGTTTGAGCGAGGGCTGAAAGTGATAATGCGGATGGCTTCGTTCTGTATGTGTTGTACGAATGAAATGTATGAGTGATAGGTGTTTGCCAAAGTAGTTATGCCATAGTTAAAATGACTATGGATAAATGATAATGCATTAGTAAAGAAATATGGCCTAGCTTCAATTAATGTGTAAATATCAAAAGCAGTCTTTGTCCAACAAGTGTAGATAAAAATTGGGAGTTATGTCTGAACGTACACCGAGAAAGGAAACAGTTATCCTAAGCATAGATAATATTAGGACTCATAGTAGCAGGAGTTGCCAAAAGTTTCTGAGAAGATCCGAAAATCATGAACCGAGTTTTAGAGGGGTTTATAGTTGGGTCATTACTGTTACACCATAAAACTACATCGCTGAGTACAGAGTTTAGTTTTGACATTAAAGATGGAACTGATTTTGCCTTGCATGATACTGTGTTGTCGTCAGCATATAAAACACATTGTGTAGAGGATGTGCATCAGGTTGATCATTAATATAAATAATAAATTGGAGGGGACCAAGAATGGACCTCTTTGGAACACCTTGATTAGTAATCTTAGAGTAAGAGCTACCTGCAAAGACTGCATTTTTTTGGTTAAACAGGCAACTTTTCAGAAAGCTAAAAGGTGGTCCAGTGATACTGTAAGGTTCCAACTTATTGAAAAGAATGGAATGTTCGAGCGTATCAAAGGCATTAGTTAAATCCAAAAAGACAACCTGAGAAGTTACCGCTATCAATGGAATGTTTTATGAAGTTTGTCAAAGAAAGCAGAACATGATTAGTGGAGCTTCCGTGACAAAAACCAAACTGGGAAGGTTTTGTAATAATAAATTTGGAAAGTAAGGCATTAAGACTCTTTACAAACAGATGTTCAATTAGTTCACCTAATGATGAAAGAATAGAGATAGGTCTATAATTTTTAATATCATATTTATTGCCTTTCTCAAAAATTGGTATAATTTATGTGCACTTTATAGATGGGAAAAGAACCTTTAGAAAAAATTAGATTGATTATATGAGTGAAGGGCTGAGAAATTATATGAGCAACCAACTTTAAATGGTGTTTGCAAATGTTATCCAGGCCATCAGAAATATCTTTAGGACTACGAATAGCAGATTCTATTTTGTCAGAGGAAGAGGGAAAAAGAAAAAATGAGTGAGGTAAACGCGGCAAACTAGGTGAAAGAACATTCTTCAAAAAATTGGATGATGAACTGAAATACTCGGAAAATGCATTAGCAATGTTGTCAGAGTGACACTGAGTAGCATTATGGTGAGCGATTTTCATGATGGGTGAATTGATTGTGGGTGAATTTAAGAATTTGTTGAAAAGTTTTCACTGTTTTTAGGATTATTTTTATTCTTTTTAAATTCCTCATTATAATAGCCTTTCATGGCAAGTTTTAACCAAGAGTAGAGAGTATTAAAATAATTTTTGTAGCGGAGTACCGAGGTGCTATTAAGGGGTTGTCTCTTAACTTTCCTATAGAGGCTATCCTTTTTTTCTGAGGCTGTTTAATGAAGCCAATGTCATCCCAGGACTTTGAGGTTCTTGGTATTTTTTGTTGTAAGCAATAGTATGAGTACTAGCAGAAACAGCTTCTGAAAATGAAGAAGAAAATGTATCCACCGCTTATTTGTCTCATATCAGTGTCTGTTATGAAGGGGTTCGACGGTACTGTGAAGAAGCCTTCATGAAAATTTGGACATTTGAAGTGCTAGCACAAGCATCATTATCAGCTCCCCAACAGTTGTTTTTTGAAGCCAAAACAAGAAATTGCCTCCACTACGACTCGACTCGCCAGAGTGACTTGTAACAAAGGCATGGCCTAGAACACGTATTCCCTCGGCATTACCTCTGAGGTAAGAATTGCTCAATGTTTCTAAGGTGAGTGTCGGGTTGTACATCACGCTGAGAGCCAGCAGGTGCACCCTTCGTCTACTGAGGGCCTGCATGTGTAAAGAGCGTTTCACCAGCCCCGTCACAAATGTTAATTACTTAACAGAGATTATGAACGTTTATTGATTGAAAGGAGTAGAGTCTTCAATTGAATAGTTGGAGCCATGACTTTCTGGAAGAATTTCGTCTAGGCCAGGACCATTGCGACAGAGAATATCTGCAACCTGTTCCCATGTGTTGTACACAGTACCGTGGGCGACCTCTCTTCAGCAGGCACAACTGTGCACTCGCACCCCCATGTCTGTGATTGCTGGTGTATCCTGCCTCAGTGGGGGTGTATTGCAAAAGCTGTGTGAAAAGGGGGGGGGGGGGGAGCACTTGATTTGTGTCCTTTCTGCATTTGGAGTGCATGCTTCTTCGCATGGGTGCAAATCTTAGTTTATTTCTGGCGTCAGAGTGAGGTGGTACCCCCTCTTTCATGCAGATGCAGTATTGAGTGGGGGGGTTTGCCTACTCTGGTCAGGAGTGCCCTTCCCGTGCTGGTGCAGTTCAGATGCTGCACCTCACTTGTATACGTTTGTTACACAGGCAGCCTAAACTGTGCGCCTTTATGGTGACCTCGATAGGGTTATGTTACAGGGTATGTGAAACCATCGTTGTGCCCCTAATTGTAGTATACGAAACCGAGCTTGGCAACCTCGATTTGGCGGTTACTCGAAGAAATGGATGAGACCTTCAAATTTTGGCGATGCCCACAATGTTGCCAACAAATGTTTTCGCTCTACGTATGCGCTGCAGACGTTTTCTGAGAATTTTTTTATGGTAGTGTCGTTACGTCTTAGCCGAAGTTTTTGGAACGCCGCTTCGGCAGTCTGCGAGGCCTGATAGGTGTTCTCTAGCGTGACTGGGAAGTACATTTCATTACGCATTGTCCTCGTAAAAGTGCAGCTTTCGTGTCAACAACATAGTACATGAGCCGGTGCCCTGTAACGATTTCGTCAACATCAGAGT